GAATAGGAATAGGAATAGGAATAGGAATAGGAATAGGAATAGGAATAGGAATAGAAATAGGAATAGGAATAGGAATAGAAAGAGGAATAGAAATAGGATTAGGGAAAGAAATAGAATAGGAATAGGAATAGTAATAGGTATCCTGAAGGTAGTGGTGTAAGGATTGTGTACATTTTTACTGTGACGTGTTAGTACTGCTAGGAACTAGTTTTATTAAACGATAACAAACATTGTAAACAGAAGGTGATTTTCTTTGACAGAGCTTGACTTATTTATTGTAATTTTTTATTTTCTATTTTATTTAACCCAGGTTTAATTTGTTCTAATCCGTCACAATAAATTATAAACAAACCTTGTTATGCATTACCTCATGCATGTATTAGGATAATAGAAGTTAAAAATCAACAATTTTAAAAACATTTTACCTTTTTCACAACTTTTTTTTTTTACCAAAAACCACACATTGTAAGTAGGAAACCCCACTTATAAACAAAATTTTACCTAATCATACCATTCCATGACATATCCATATCCATATTTCCGTAGTCCTGCCGAATACATATTTTATTATTTTATTTTTAAATCCTGCATTGTAATATGAAGATGTTTTGGAGGTAAGTTAAAAAAAATTATTTTGAATTTTTAAAGACCAAAAAAAAATTTTAGGTAAAAAATCTTCTTATTTATTTTCTGACCTCAACAACTTTAATCTCGTACTGGAATCCCATCATGTCCTTCAGTTCATTAATCAAATCCACACAGTATCCACTGTATTCTCCTTTAAAGGAACTGTAGTTGTAATTTCTACTGACTCATAATTTATATCCTTTTTAAAACAAGTTAAATTGCTGCATGAATACACAAGTCACTTTTACCAACAACCCCCAAATATAAATTATAAGTTTTAGACAAAAAGCTAAAATTTCTTTGCCATTTTGGCCCCAAGAAAGACTTATGAGTTATAATTTTTCTTAAAAGTACGGAAAAATTCCACCCCCGCACCGGGTTTTAATAATTTTCTAAAATTTTTTTCAGACCCATGTAGTACGTACATCTGACCAACTATTTTCCAGACACATGAAGTACATACATTAAACCAGCTATTTTCCAGACCCACGTGGTACGTACATTAAACCAGCTATTTTCCAGACCCACGTAGTACGTACATTAAACCAGTTATTATCCAGACCCACGTAGTACATACATTAAACCAGCTATTTTCCAGACCCACGTGGTACGTACATTAAACCAGCTATTTTCCAGACCCACATAGTACATACATTAAACCAGTTATTTTCCAGACCCAAGTAGTATGTACATTAAACCAGCTATTTTCCAGACCCATGTAGTACGTTCATTAAACCAGCTATTTTTCAGACTCACCCAGATGTTTTCGTTCCTTGGCATATTGATTCTAATAAATCTTGTTTTCTTGTGTTTTACACTTTAGAAAAAATATTATAAACTGTTATTTTTCTAAATTTCCAAAGACAAAATGTCTAAGTTATGTAATTGTTTGATACCCGGATGAAATTAAAAATACTAAGCAGAAAGTTTAATTGCTTAATTTAAACTTCTAAACATCACAAAATTAGTTGAATTCTTCAACATGATTATTTTATGCTTATTTATAAAATATATTTAAACATATGAATATAAAACGATTCCAACAGCCATATGGAAAAGATTTAGATGGTGAGTTGAAGTAAGTTACATAACCCTGGACCACTCTGATGGTGTGTTGAAGGGAGGTATTCCTGGAAATCTCTGATGGTGGGTAGAATTAAGGTAGTTAGGAAACCCTGGAAAACTCTGATGGTGAGTTGAAGGAAGGTATATTACCCTGGAACACTCTGATGGTTTGTTGAAAGGAGGTGTATATCCTTGGAACACTCTGATGGTGTGTTGAAGAGAGGTATATATTCCTGGAAAACTCTGATGGTGGGTATAATTAAGGGAGTTAGCTAACCCGGGAACACTCCGATGTTGGGTTAATGGAAGATATATAACCCTGGAACACTGATGGTGAGTTGAAGGGAGGTATATTACCCTGGAACACTCTGATGGTTTGCTGAATGGAGGTATATTACCCTGGAACACTCTGATGGTTTGCTGAATGGAGGTATATTACCCTGGAACACTGTGATGGTTTGCTGAATGGAGGTATATAACCCTGGAACACTCTGATGGTGGGTTGAAGGGAGGTATATATTCCTGGAAAACTCTGATGGTGGGTAGAATTAAGGGAGTTAGCTAACCCTGGAACACTCTGATGTTGGGTTAATGGAAGATTTATAACCCTGGAACACTGATGGTGAGTTGAAGGGAGGTATATTACCCTGGAACACTCTGATGGTTTGCTGAATGGAGGTATATAACCCTGGAACACTTTGATGGCGGGTTGAAGAGAGTTTAAATAGAATTTAGTTGAGTCAATATTGAATTATTGACAAACAGCCCAGGAACTACAGCAACACACAGGAGAAACTATTCAANCTAATTGCTGTCATATTGTGGCGCCCCTGTTGGATTCCTGGAATGCAGTACACATTGTTATTGTTATTGTTTAGATTATAGTATACTGCATCTTGTATAAATTTTGTTGTTTGATAAATATATATTCAGTTAATTTTGACTACTCAGTCTTACTTATTCATGCTTATTAGCACCCCGCTAAACTGGTGACCCCAACGTGATATTTCACTCTATTAAATTTTATAACTGTACTCCTTACTGAAACGTTTCGAACTCCCTGTGTTTTTCACAGTTCAAACTTTGAGTAGGTTTAGAAACAGTTATTCTGGGTTTTTTTTTCTTCTCTTTTTCAAAATGTCTAGAGAGGAAGAAACTACATTTGGTGCAGCAACCAACTCTGGTGTAATCAACACTGTCTCACTGAAGCTTCCTGCTATTTGGCTAGAGGAGGTTGAGGTTTGGTTTGCTCAGGCTGAGGCACAGTTTGCCATTAAGAGAATTACGGACTCTAGGACCAAGTTATATTATGTGGTCTCTGTGCTCCCCCAATATGTCACTCCTCAGCTATCAGATTTACTCCATGCACCACCTGCTGCTCCTTATGAATCACTCAAGGACAGACTTTTTCAACTGTATTCCTTGAGTGACTGGGAGAGATTTGAAGCATTGGTTAACCTTCCATTGGTTGTGGACCAGAAGCCTAGCATTCTTATGAACAAGATGCTGGCACTTTACCCTGCAGACTCCAAACCAGATTTTATGTTTAGAGGTCATTTCTTAAGACGACTACCTGCAGAGATTAGAAGTCACTTGATTCATGAGAGTATTCTTGATCCTAGAGCTCTTGCTCTTAAAGCTGATGCACTCTGGCAGAGCTGGGCTCTCTTTCCGGTTGGTCATGTCTCTGGGAATGTTGAAGAGTATGAAGCTTTTGCTCTTGGACGGCCAGGGGGTTCCTCTAAACCCAAGAACCAATCCTCATGGCAATGATCATCTCCTGCATCTCGATCAGCTCCTGCTCCTCAGTCCTCTTCAGGTTCTGACAATGTTTACAACCGGTACCATCGTAAATTTGGAAACAATGCTCATAGATGTTTTCAGCCCTGTATCTGGTCGGAAAACCACTAGTCCGGCAGGAGGGTTCATTTACTCTACCTGCCGGTTCACCTGGGAGTAATCTTATCTTCCTTCAAGACTCTTTAAGTAACAGGAAGTTCCTTGTGGATTCTGGTGCCACCATTTCTGTTTTTCCTCATCACAGCTCCAAGCCATCTTCTAGCTCTGTATTCTCCAATTCTGTTGAACTAAGAACTGCTGATGGATCTTCAGTTCGGTGTGCTGGTACCAGAGAAATTCCCCTCTGTATTGGCTCCCGAAGATTCTCTTGGTCTTTTCAGCTAGCTCCTGTAACTGTTCCCACACTAGTAGCTGATTTCCTACGGCACCACCATTTGCTTGTTGATGTAGCTGGCCACAGAGTTCTAGATTCTTCTTCCTTGTCAGCAGTTGGAGAAGTTTTTTCTTCATCTCCAGAATAATCAGAGGTCCTTCATGCAGCTCTTCTTGCAACCCCAAGCTCCATTCGTGATCTTCTTAGAGAGTTCCCAGATGTTCTCTCCTCAGATGGATTCACAGCTGCTCCTCCAAAGCATGGAATACGCCATCACCTTCAAACTAATCCTGGCCCACCAGTGTTTGCGAAGTCTAGGCGTTTAGACCCAGAGAAGCTTGAGATTGCTAGGTTGGAGTTTGCTGAAATGGAGAAAGCAGGCATAGTTCGTCGTTCCTGTTCTCCATGGTCCAGTCCGCTCCATATGGTTAGGAAGAAGGATGGAGGTTGGAGACCTTGTGGTGGTTATCGGAGACTTAGTAATGTCACAATTCCAGATCGGTATCCTCTTCCTAACATTGCAGATTTTACATCCTGCTTGGATGGTTCCTCAGTTTTTTCCAAATTGGATCTCCAGAAAGGATACTACCAGGTTCCTATGTCTGACTCTGACATCCAGAAGACTGCCATCATCACCCCATTTGGTATGTTTGAGTTCCTCAGGCTTCCTTTTGGCTTGAGAAATGCAGGCCAAACGTTCCAGAGAATGATGGACCAGATTTTTGGTGACCTCCCTTTCTGTTTTGTCTTTGTGGATGACATTTTGGTTTTCTCCAAGAACATCAGTTCCCATGTTTCTCACCTGCGAGAAGTTTTTGAGCTCTGCAGGCAACATGGGCTTACAATCGGTTTACCTAAGTGTGAGTTTGCTGTTTCGGAGATTTAATTCCTTGGCCACCGAGTCTCTGCTTCAAGTTGAACACCTTTGTCCAAGCACACTGATGTCATCAAGGATTTTCCAGTTCCCTCCGATAAGCCTGCTCTCCAGAGATTTTTGGGTCTTCTCAACTTTTACCGAAGATTCATGAAGACTGCTGCAGGTGTTTTGGCTCCGTTAACTAATGCTCTGAAGGGTCCAGGCAAGTCTCTTGTTTGGTCTGAAGATCTGAACAGTTCTTTCATCAAGAGTAAACAACTTCTCCTTGCAGTGGCATCTTTAGTTCACCCTGTTCCTCAAGCACCAATTTCTCTTGCTGTTGATGCCTCCAACACTCACATTGGAGCAGTCCTTCAACAGAAGGCCCTTGGACTTTGGTCTCCACTAGCGTTCTTCTCAAGGAAGCTTTCTCTGACTGAGGAAGAGTACTCTGCTTTTGATCATGAACTTCTTGCTGCCTACTCTTCCATTGGCTACTTTCGTTTCCTCCTTGAAGGCAGAAGTTTTACTTTATTCACCGATCATAAACTCACACATGCTCTGTTCAGGACTTCTCCTCCTTGGTCAACCGGTCAACAGAGGCATCTTGCTTACATATCAGAGTTTACAAGTACAATCATCTATGTTCCTGGTGCTGATAATCCTGTAGCTAATGCTCTGTCCAGGCCCTGCTCTGTTATTTCTGCTCCATCTGCTTCATCAGCACCTTTAGAACTTTTAGCTCTACCAGCTTCATTGGCTCCTTTGGCACCAAAAATTGTATCTAAACCTTTGTCAGTTCTGCCAGCTCTGGATCCTGTGATCTGTCCCTGTTCAGGATTTCCATTTGCTTTGTGATGTTTCAACAGGTACATCTCGGCCACTTGTTCCCACTTCACTGCGTCAAAATGTTTTTTCTCTGGATCCTGCGTCAAAATGTTTTTTCTCATCTTCATGCAGTTTCACATCCTGGGATCAGAGCCTCAAGACGTCTTGTCTCTAGTAGGTTTGTTTGGCCTGGGTTATCAACAGAAGTAGCATCCTGGGCTAAAGCA